TCTCTCTCTCTCTCTCTCTCTCTCTCTCTCTCTCTCTCTGATATTTTTATGCAAAATATTTGATCCAAAGGTTCGCTATCCGAGTGGTGTTGAAGTAAATCTGGGCAATGAGTTGACACCAAAGTCTGTAAAGAACGAGCCGGTGGTGGACTGGCCTGTAGTGGAGGGCGCCTACTATACCCTCGTGATGACTGACCCGGACGTGCCGTCCAGAGTGTCGCCCACAGCCGACGCTCAGGTGAAACACTGGTTGATCGTCAATATACCGGAAAATCAGGTGTCGAGCGGGGAATCGTTGGCCGTATACCGCGGTTCGGGACCACCGCTCGGCTCAGGCCTTCACCGGTATGTGTTTCTGGTGTACAAACAGCTGAAACCGATTGTCCACTCGGAGACAATACTGCCGACACCGGGTCGGGAGGGGAGGACCGGATTCAAAGTGCGTGACTTCGCCCAGAAGTACAAGTTGGGCGAACCCATTGCCGCCAACTTCTTCGTCGCCCAATACGACGATTACGTCGGACTCAGGAATGCGAGGGCTAAGAGTGGGGCCAAACCCACAGTCGCCCCAACCACCAGAGCGGCACCGATAGAGACAACACCGACAACAACAACGCCACCGCCTGAACCAGTGATTGAGCAACAAATGGAGATTGAAGAGGAAGTGATGACCGATAGTCCGCCGCCAACAGAGCGGCCGACGCGGACCAGAACCCGGTCACCGATGAAAGGCAACAGACGGTCACAGCTGCGGGACTGGACCTGGACGGGCAGCGATTGGGCGCGCAAAGTGGCCAAAAAACCCAAGTTCCCACAAATGATCTGCATGAATTACGATACTTATAAATCTATACAAAGTGTCCTTGGTCTGCCTAAGAATTAGTTTTGTTGGTTATTTTATGCCAATACAATATAGCCGTAAAGCAGTATGGTAATTTAAAATATGTTTTTAAAAAGTACATGCTCGTATTGCAAACTACAGTTGCATAACTTGTTTATGATGTGAATATAAATTTAAAAATAATATTTTTCTATAAATTCCTAAATATTTAGATAAATATCGTTTTGTTAATACAGTAGAGAGAAAATTGCAATAAAATATTTAATCTATTATTTATATCCTATAAATTATGTTTATTACAACTGCAGCTAATTGTTTGGATTTAAGGATTAAAATAGTTAACAGATAATTACATCGATAATTACTAAATGCCTTTTAAATATTTGTGTACAACATATAATTTACCAGTAAATAAGCGCACAAACAATTTGCACAAAATAATTACCAAAATGTAAAAATTAAAATAAAATTTGATATTTTTCTTAATGAACTTCACTATTATTAAGTCCAAGGTTTACATTAAAACACAGAAGTTTATCATATTTTCAAAATTAAAACATCATTTGTTTTTCTTATCTATTTATGGCCTTCACTACTATTTTTATATAAAGTGTTGTGAATTTTTTAAATTAATGTAATACAAAATTAAACATTACAAATCTTATAGTTTCTTTTGAATAGATATTTTGTCTGGTTTTAGGATAGATTATAATTAAGGTGTTTGTATTTTTTAGCAATAATTTCAATTGTATTATAGAATAATATTAATAAAATTAAAAAATATTTAAATACATGTTATATTTAAACATTTTGCATTTACACATAGATATACAAACATTATCTGACATTTTCTACAAATATGATTTATTTAATAAATGTGAATGTAATGATTATGTAATAAATAGTACTCTCTACTTATGTCCCAATGATTGTACATTAAAGTAGTTGAAAACACGAAAAATATTGTTTATAAGAAATATTAACTAATAATTGCACTGTTATTACCAGCAACTATAACCAGTAACAGTTGAAATCAGTTATGGACAAACATAATGTGGTCCCCGGTGTTATCGATACAGTTCCCAAAAATATAATCAAGGTATAATAGTTTTATTTTAAAATGCTATATAAATAATAGTAATTATTACAAATTATTTTCAATCAATAGGTTCACTATCCGAGTGGTGTTGACGTAAATGTGGGCAATGAGTTGACGCCACTGTCCGTCAAAGACGAGCCCACAGTCCAGTGGCCCACAGAAAAGGGCGTATATTATACACTTGTGATGACAGACCCGGACGCCGGAGCGCGGGCTGAGATTAAACACTGGCTCGTCGTTAATATACCGGCCAATGATCTGTCAGCGGGTGAAACGTTGGCCGAATACAGGGGATCGGCGCCACCGGCTGCCGGTGCGCCCCATAGATATATATTCCTGGTATACAAACAACCCTCGGGTCGACTCAACCACTCGGAGACACCGTTGGCACCAAATTCACGGGAAGGGCGCGGCTATTTCAAAGTTAGGGAGTTTGCAAACAAATATAATTTGGGCGAACCCTATGCCGGCAACTTATACCTGGCCAAAGGGGACGAGTACTCCGCGCAGATTAGGGTTCAGTTAGGACTTCCCAAATAATCAATTAATTGTGATAGAGATGTTCCGTAAAATTAAATATTCAAATGTTTTTTAATTTGTTTAATAATTTTATTTCAAATTATTTTTGAAATGTAAGCTTATGTGCAATTAAAACTATAATTGTTTCAATAAATAATATCTGATTTTTAAAATTATTATTTGAAATATCCTGTGTTTTTTGGTGAATGATTTATTTATCTCAATATTTTGTATTAATTTATTTTCACAACTCTATGAAAATATGAATATAAAATTGCAAAACATTTTGATGGCTTATTACAATTATAATTTTTACAATGTAGTAGTATAAAACTGATTATAATGACCAGAATTTGAACAACTGTAATTTTTATTGTACATGATAACCATGGTCATTGATTAGATAAATAATAATCTTATATAATACGACAGTTATAATAAAAACGATTTTCAGAGTACTTATAAATACACGTTACTATTTACAGTTAAACAAGACAAAAAACATATTTGTTAAACACTTGCAAAAACCAGTTTTAATTAAAAATTTAATTTCTAATCAACGATCGAATGGAGAAAATAACACCAGACGTTGTGGACACAGTTCCCAAAAATATAATCAAGGTATTTATTTAGTCAATAAAACAAAAACTAATAAAACTCAATTCAATTTAAACAACAGATTCACTATCCGAGTGGTGTTGACGTAAGTCTTGGCAATGAGTTGACGCCACTGTCCGTCAAAGACGAGCCCACAGTCCAGTGGCCCACAGAAGAGGGCGCGTACTATACGTTTATAATGACAGACCCGGACGCCGGAGCGCGGGCTGAGTTCAAGCACTGGCATGTCGT